TATTTATTTTTGAGAAAGACAGAGACAGAATGCAAGTGGGTTAGGGACAGAGAGAGAGGGAGACACAGGGCCCCACCCAGGCACCCCGGATTCCTGTGTCTTTGCAAGTTTACATTTCACGTTTATTCATTCCTTTCTTTGGGTTTGTTTGATTATTCTTTTCCTGATTTCTTTAACATTTACTTTATTCTTGTTTAGTGATTGCATTTTTTAAGGTGTGAATCTTCCATCTGAGTGTCAAGGTTTTGAGGGATAGCGTCATCACCTTGATTAATGTCCAGATACTCTGCCATTATGGACTCAGGTTTTCTGTTTCACTCAAGTTGTTTAGGAGAGTTCCAGGATTTTTTCGTCATTTTCAAACGTGTTGAATTTTACTTTTGAACCTGTTCCTTTAGCAGCCTTATCATACCAACTTATTAACGTTCTTTCTAAATATATGTGTAGTTGCCAAGAACCACGATTTTTGTGTTAAAATCTTGCCCGATTCTCCTTCCCTTCCTCACCGCGTGCGCCATCCATTTTCCCGCTGCGTCACTCGGCGTGAAATATCCAGACAGTCACAGGTCCTGCCGGTCAGGTTGTGCAGTGGCCTTTCTGATGTTCAGCGCCGTCGGGGGCAGAAAAAATGACGTTTTTAATCAGGTGTTTGGAAGGGTCGTTTCCAGAAGGAGGCAAAATATGGCTCTTGGACACCTATGAAAAAAGATACAGATTTGGGGCTTTCTTGTCATTCAGCAGTGACAGCCAGCTCCAAGGAAAGGGCCAGTCTCGAGTTGCAGAATAAGGACCCTGAATTGCAAGTGGAGCTGGATCTGGTTCTTCTTCTTCTTTTAATGTTTGTTTATTTTTGAGAGAGGGAGAGAGACAGCGAGAGCAGGGGGCGGGGGTGCAGAGAGAGAGGGAGACACAGAATCCGAAGCAGGCTCCAGGCTCCGAGCCGTCAGCACAGAGCCTGACGCGGGGCTCGAACCCACGAACCGTGAGATCATGACCTGAGCCGAAGTCGGACGCCCGACCGACTGAGCCCCCCAGGCACCCCCGGATCTGGTTTTTCTAAGGGGAGGGGCTGTCAGGGAAACTGTGGGTTGACCTCGTAAAGTGCAAGCGCGCCTCAACTTGCGGGTCTGTGGGGCAGGAGGCGGGCCGTGGGCGCCGAGGCCTTGCTGCCCTCAGAGCGGTTTCCACTCCAGAGCATATGTTTTCTTTTTTTTTTTTCAACGTTTATTTATTTTTGGGACAGAGAGAGACAGAGCATGAACGGGGGAGGGGCAGAGAGAAAGGGAGACACAGAATCTGAAACAGGCTCCAGGCTCTGAGCCATCAGCCCAGAGCCTGACGCGGGGCTCGAACTCATGGACCGTGAGATCGTGACCTGGTTGAAGTCGGACGCTTAACCGACTGCGCCACCCAGGCACCCCTGGAGCATATGTTTTCTTACCGTTTTTCTGCTTCGGATAAAACATAAGCTCACACAAGGATGATTCGTGATCATAAGCACGGCTGGTTGGTCACTTGGCTGGATTATGTCCATAGGTGTAGCAAGAATGTTAATACACCGAGCCGGCTTTCCTGAGTTCACTTTGCTAGAAGTTTCCATCAGGAGTCCAGATTGGACTTTTTACAAGCTTCTCGTTTGTTGTCCTGATGAGGCCAGGAAGCCAGTAACGCACTGGTTTCATCTGCTAAATGATTTTGAGCAAATTCCTTTTATCCCAAGGTTTCAGAACTACCCTGAGGCTCCATGGCCTGCTGGAGGTGACCTTCCCAGCTCTTCGCCAGCTGTGTGCCTCGGCCCCTTAAGTCAACCGGAGTAACTTCTGGTGACCGGTCCTGACAACTAAGTGAGCATCGTGCTCAAATCCGGCCCGCACCGCCCGTGTTTCCAGTCAAGTCCCGGTAGAACGGGGCACCGATTTCCAGGGCACCGGTGCCAGTAAAGAGCCGTGTTGCAGGAGGGTGTTAAGGAACAAAATTCAAGCGGGTGAATTTGTGGATCTAATTGCCTTTGTTGAGCGATTCGGGGCTCAGGCAGCACCCCACGCAGCAAGTGGAGGGAGCTCAGAGGGGCTCCGCAGAGTGGGCGGTTCTTACAGGAAGCACAGTGGGGGCAAGAGGTCCATTAGCGAAAGAAAAGGATTGTTTGCAGCCAGATCGCCTTCCCTACCTGTGAGGGCCGGGGTCCTTTGGGCTCGGAGAGGACCCAGTGGCAGACTCCACTGACTGCAGGGCTCCTGACAACCGGTTAAAGCTGCATTTCTGGGGGAGGTTGCAGCTAGGTCAGGCATAAAGCCCTGGTCTGGGCCTGTGATTTGCTTTTGAACAAAAAAAAGAAGACTGGGGCGCCCGGGGGCTCAGTAGGTTGGGCGTCCGACTCTTGGTTTCAGCTCAGGTCGTGATCTCATGGTTCGGGAGTTTGAGTTTGAGCCCCGCTTTGGGCCCTGTGCTGACAGCAGGAGCCTGCTTGGGACTCTCTCTCTCTCTCTCTCTCTCTCTCTGCTCCTCCCCTGCTCTCTCTCTCTCAAAACAAATAAACTTAAAAAAAGAAAAAAGTAAGACTCAACAAGAGTATCTGGGTTCTGAAGGACTTAGGGAGAGAAGAAGATGCCACTTAGAGATGTTTCACGTCAGCTCACAGAAGCGGAGACCCCTGAAGCCTTACAGACTGCGGCTGGCTAAGAGGAGGGAGAACAGGCCCCGTGTAGAGCTAGGACGTCGACCGTGAAAGCGACGTATCCGGAGAAGAGCTGCCATCGCCCCTGCCCATACCTTCCGTCCTCAGTGACCAATTCTTGATCCGTTGGATTTTGGTTCCAGGTCAGAAGAGTCCACGTTCCTCTCGACTGGAGCTCTGGAAATCCTGCCTCGCGCAACTGGGAGCATCTCCGAGCGGGCCAGGCACCGCCAGCAGAAGCCTGTGCCCAAAGTGCAGCGGGCCCCTCGGCCCCAGGGGGTGCCCGAAACGGCAGACAGTACCGAACACCACGCGTTGCACGTTTTTTCCTAGACGTACGCGCCCACGATAATGTTTGTACGTTAAGCGCGGTAAGAGACTAGGATAACAGCTACTAAGAAAATAGAGCGATTGTAGCCATATATTGTAAATAAAGTGCCGTGACTGTGGTCTCAACACAGCCTTACCGAGCTGTCTCCCCTTTCCTGTGATGCCGTGAGACAGAGAAATGCCTGCGTGAGGAGACGGAGGAGGTGGACGCTGTGGGTGTGCGACAGTAGGTCAGGAGGGGGACCGTGGGTCTCCAGACGCGCTGACAGCGAATAACTGGGGGCGCCTGTGGCTGAGACCGCGGCCGAGACCCATGCAGCCTTTCCACAGGCTCGTGGAAGGTCCTCCCGACGACAGGCACGCTGACCTCTCTGTAGAGATTTCCCTCTTGTCTCGTTTTTCTCCTCTTCTCTCCTTATCGAAGTGCAACTTTTCTCACAGTGACCGCACCGCCTTACTTTTCCAGTGGCAGTTTGCATGGGTTCCGACTTCTCCACATCCTGGGCACCACTGACTTCCCGTCTTGTCCGTTCTGATGAGTGAGAAGCCGTAGCTCACTGTGGTTTAGAGTCTGCGTTTCCCTGACGACTAATGATGCGGACCATCTCTGCAGGGGCTCGTCGGCCATTCGTGGGTCTTCGGATTCCATGGCTTTTAAGCTCCGGGTTTAAAATCTAAAGAACACAAGTTCACTTCCGAATTCTGTCCTTCCCATGTGCTTTTATCCCCTGGAGGAAGCTGACGGAGTACTCTGGGACCCATTGCTGGAGCTCCACGGTGACAGGGCTGGTTCCTTGAGTAAACTAGATGCTAATAACATGCAATATATTCACCACCATCTTCAGACAGATGGATAATAAGCTTTTTCAAAATTTCTGTTTCAGTTTCTAACACAGTAAATATCAGTGTTTACAGCTCACACACACCCCAAAACCTCGGAGTCCTCACTGAGCTTGTGTTTAGCCACGATGATTTGTGATTCTGACAAACCTTATTTGAACAGTAGTTGTGTCTCATAGTATTGTCAGCTTAAAGATGCATTTCCGGGGCGCCTGGGTGGCGCAGTCGGTTAAGCGTCCGACTTCAGCCAGGTCACGATCTCGCGGTCCGTGAGTTCGAGCCCCGCGTCGGGCTCTGGGCTGATAGCTCGGAGCCTGGAGCCTGTTTCCGATTCTGTGTCTCCCTCTCTCTCTGCCCCTCCCCCGTTCATGCTATGTCTCTCTCTGTCCCAAAAATAAATAAACGTTGAAAAAAAAAAATTTTAAAAAAGATGCATTTCCTAGATTTTTAGGTAACTTAACCCAAGTTGAGTTAACGAATGGGTATTCTTCGGCGACCCGGATCGTTTCCGAGTAAGACAGGATGCTTGCAAGATGACAGGCGGGATCTTTGAGTTTATTCATTTAACCTCCTGCTGCTTACTTTTCTGTGCTGCACAGAGAGTGCACTTTGGGACGGTTAGTGAAGGTGTTGATTTCTGCTTTGAGAAGCCGTGTCAGGCCACACGCAGCCGCGGGACGTCTTGTGTGCGCGTCACCCCCCACCGCGTGCTGCAGGAGAGAAGTGACTGGGGTAGAGGAGGAACGCGGTGTTCTTCTCGGGGTTTGTGCTTGGCGTGAGGGAGACCCAGAAATGAGGTGCATGCAGAAAGCAAACCCTTCTGGTGCGTGGCTGGCTCAGTCAGTGGAGCATGTGACTCTTGATCTCCGGGTGTGAGTTTAAGCCCCGTGTTGGGCATAGAGCTTACTTTAAAATAAAAAGGTGAAAAAGAAGGAGAAGGAGAAATAATGAGAAAGCGAATCCTTTTCCTCTCCTTGTTCTTGTTCTAGGGAAACCACCTCATCAACCCCTGCCCACTCCTGAGGCCTGGAACCAGAGTGAAGCACCTTTGGGGCAGGTGAAGCCCCACTCTGCAGCTCAGGTAATACTTATTCCTGTATCTAAGAACAGCATTTTCAGCAACTTTTTACCAATTGCTTAAGTATTGCGTTTCATTACCAAAACGTCAAAATCCAGTAGACATGATTGAAAAGGTCTCCATTTTTCAGCAGCTGAACATAGTTACCTGTGACGTCTCAGTGTGTTTCCTTCTGTTTTTTAAAGTTACAAAAATAGGGGCACCTGGGCGACTCAGTCGGTTTAAGCATCCGAGTCTTGATCTTGGCTCAGGTCATGATCTCACAGCTTGTGAGTTCGAGCCGCATGTTGGGCTCTGCGCTGACATCGGAGAGCCTGCTTGTGTGCGTGCTCGCTCGCTCTCTCTCCCTCAAAAATAAGTTTAAAAAATAAAATTAAAAAAATAATAAAATAAAAATAAATACAAAATAAACATAAAATTACAAATTACATCATATGTATATTTTACTATAGCTTTACCCACCTGGGTATTATTTTTCAAATCTTCACCAATATGATGGGTTAAAAAAATTGCATCTTTGGGGCACCTGGGTGGCTCAGTCAGTTAAGCGGCTGACTTCGGCTCAGGTCACAGTCTCGCGGTCCGTGAGTTCGAGCCCCGCGTCGGGCTCTGTGCTGACAGCTCAGAGCCTGGAGCCTGTTTCGGATTCTGTGTCTCCCTCTCTCTGACCCTCCCCCGTTCATGCTCTGTCTCTCTCAGTCTCAAAAATAAATAAACGTTAAAAAAAATTTTTTTTAATTGCATCTTTTAAAAGTTTTTTTATATCCTTACTGGTATTAAAGTCTGTAATCTATCGGCCATTTGTATGTCTTCTTTTGCGGGTTATTTATACACGTATTTTGTTAATTTTTCTACTTGTATGTCTGTGTCAGTTTTTGTTTTGAGAAAGAGAGAGAGAGAGAGAGAGAGAGAGAGAGAGAGAGAATCCCAAGCAGGCTCCCAGCTCAGAGCCCAACTCGGGGCTCCATCTCACAACCATGAGATCACGACCTGAGCTAAAATCAAGAGTTGGAAGCTCAACCGATTGAGCCACCCAGGCATCCTTGTGCTCGTTAGCTCTTAAGAGGTTTTCATCCACGACGGAACTGCTGCGTGTCTATCGTAAACCTTTGTCATATGCCATATGTCATATGTTTTCTTTTTTTTGTTTTTTAATCCACAGAGAACTTTCTTTAATGAGCTCCACCAGTGTACTTTAATGGTTTATTTCACTGGTTTTTGGCTTAGAGTGTTTTTCTCTATTTTGAGTTTAGGTAAATGTCCACCCATTTCTTCTGGCTGTTCTGTCCCACAAATTATCATGACACCCATAAGTAATTACCCTCCTTTTTCTCACTGACTTCGAATTGGTATTTTTATCATGTGCTAAACATCTCGACTCTTCTGTATTTTTTAAATTAATGTTTTATTTTGAAATGATTTCAAATTTACGCAAAGTTGTAAAAATAACACATATACCCTTCACCTAGATTCACCAGTTGTTACCTCGTTACTACATTTGGTTTGTCATTCTTTCTGTTCCTTCCCTCTGCCTCCCCCACGTTTTAGATGGATGGATAGATAGATGATAGATGATAGATGGATAGATGGATGGATGATAGATGGATGGATAGATAATGGATAGATGAT